TTTGCCATAAGTAAAGTGTAGGATTTTCCTTGTTGTTAAAGTATATTGCTACTCTATGCTGTGCAGACATAACATGAAAGGAATAAAAAAAGCAATCATGTGTGACTTCATTCTGAGAATTCGCCCTATGTACAACAGCAAGTGTTTGGGGAAGAATTTCCTTTTAATCTTTTTTCCTGTGTCCAGTCCTGAATTGCATAAGAAAGGAGGAGATTTTCCTCAAGCCAAAGCACTAAGAGCTGCAGTGCAGCTAGGCTTATCATAAATTGAGGAAACCTACACTAAAACTAGTCTGGTGGCGATATCTTTTTTTTTTTTTCCCCAGAGGTATATTTTTAAAGTGTACTCATGTCAGCAATGGCATGCTCAAATTCGGTGTGAAAACTACTTATGCAACTTATAATAGATGCCTCAGTGACCTAAGAAGAGGAGACCATAGGGCAACTGAGAGTATACTAAATGCTTATTAATAGTGTTGATTAGAAGTGATTCAAATCTGCCTGGCTGATTTAAACTAAGCCATTAGAAAGGAGCTGACACTAATATGAATTCATTCCAACTTAGTCAAAAGGGATAGCATTAGTAAGATGCTTTACAAAGTCGTATGTCAAACTTCAATGTATAGCACCCTGATGCTACTCAGTTTTCTTAAAGATTCCTTCATGCCCAGGAGCCTACCAACTATCAAGCAGTAGTGAGACTATACTAGGATGTAAGTGTTATGTTTAATACCTAGGAAAAGCAAGAAAAGGGTTTCCCATGGGTTTCAGTGTGCAGGCCACCTCTTCAGCATGGATATGCAAGCATCTTTTCTGGGCAGATCTAATAATGGTAATACTTCCCCTGAAATAATTGGCATGACTGCTGTCATATGTGCTAATAAACTAGATGGACAGCTGGTCTAATCTAGCATAATTGCTTGTGTGCAGATTGTGCTGATTATCATGGAGCCTCTGCCTAATGCAGAAGGAGGCATATATCAAAGTGACAAAAAGCTGCCCAGTTAATCAGTGACTTCATTGGCACTTGTCTTGCTTGAGGATTTTTCTTTCATTTGTCTGCTGAATGCTTAGGCCAGAAGTATGAGCAAGTCTTACTTGTTGCCTTCTTAAATTTCTAGCTGTAGTACTTTTCTCATTCACTTTGTCCTTTGTGATTTTATAGTAATTTGATATCTTGCCTGTTCTTCTTACCCTGATCGCATTTTTGCAAGCTAGAGTGTCATACTCAATTTACTTTCTTCAGCAGAAAACTGTTCTGTAGCTGGCTTATCTTTCTTGCCCTTCTCTGGCCTTTGCCTATTCCACCGTTTTAATTTTTGTTAAATGATAAGAAGTGCATGCAGGATTTGATATGTGGGTGCTCTGTGCGTTTATGTGGTTGCTTACTTATGGGTTTTGGTTCGCTGCTCCTTTCCTAATAACTGCTAACACTGTGCTTGCCTTGATGGCTGTTGAGCTCTGAGCTGGTTTCAAAAACAATAAAAATAATTGTCCATCATGATTTCGGTATCACTTTCCTGAGAGGCTGTAGCTAATCTAGGGCCCTTTTGGTTTTCCTCTATGGATTAGCGTATGCTTAATGAAACTGCACTTCATGTACACTATTTTATTTCCTAGGCAGTTGTCACTGTGAAATCCTTGCAGTGGTTTTAGATTTGAATGCTGCTTTTACACACACTTGATCCTACCAGTGCTCTGGCAGACTTGCTGTTTTGCGATGTCCTTAGCAAGTTGCTCCTCAAAGCTGACTTATTTCACAGTCAATTTATCACTTACATTAATATTACTTTTTAAGTAAAGATTTTTTTTGTTTATTTTGTAATCTGCTTTGCTCTTCAGCCTTTGCACTTGCTTTTCTTGATGGGCAGCGGCAGAGCATTGAGAATTAAACATTCAGCACTTTGACAGTCTGTTTCATGTGCTCCTCTGGCTGCTGCTTTTCAATGGCTTTTTTTTTTTAATGCATTTCCCCCCTTTTTGGAAGCTGAATAGTTGTGCGCTAAAAGAATACACTGTAAAATCCTCCAAAAATGCCGAATTGAATACACTGTGGTCAGTATCAGAAGGTTGTTTTGTAGCTAGGTCCTGTGAGCTGTTCAGATTAAATCCTATTACATAATTTCCAGCTGATTTAGGAATAATTTATGTTATTTTGAGGCTTTAATTCCTGCATGATGTCTCTGAGGAGACTGGCAAACTTTAGGTGGGAGAACTAGTCTCCCTCTAATACTACTTTCTACTTTTGTAGTAATGTAGTAAATAGAGTGCAGGCACTATAACCTGCCTAGATGAATTGTCAAAGGCAGGAGCTGAGGCACGGCTGCAAAGATGCCTGTGCTTAGAACATCTCGTTGCAGCCACAGCAGATACTTCACTCCCTTTGAGCTGTTCCTGGACAGTGGAAGTGGGAAGTACTATGTCGCTGCCAGCTGTACCTGCTCTGGGAAAGCTTTCAAAAGCCTAGATCATTACATAGATCATTCAGGCAATATAGTTGATACAGACTTCTACAGAAACTCCCTTCTGTCATTAATCCAAAGTACAGCAACTACAAACTAATTTTGAAACACCTTGTTTTATGCTTGGTTCCTGGGCAAGGCCCGAAGAAAATTTGTCATTCAACACTGAGGCAGGCATGTATCTTACCAGTGTTGTGAAGCTGCTGGAATGAGATGTCTGCAAGTCTTCCAGAAACTCCCAACTTTAGATGCCATTGCAGGATTTCTGTGTCATTGGGCCCTAGGCATTTGTCTGCAAAGCACCTTGGAACAGAACCTCTGGTTGTATTAGTCTCTCTTGAGGTACTAGGCATCTTACAGCATGTGACATCACTGTTAACGTTAGTTTTTTAAGTTGTCTTATAATGAGTTTTGGAATACGTTTCTCAAAAAAGAGCTTTTTGAACTTCTTTCCTCTCTTTCTACAGGCTGATGAAGACCCTATCATGGGATTCCACCAGATATTTCTATTAAAGAACATCAACGATGCCTGGGTTTGCACCAATGATATGTTCAGGCTAGCATTGCACAACTTTGGCTGAGCTGGCAACCCCGAGGCACCCATGCTTTTTTTTTTTTTTCTTCTCCTCCTCTCCTCTTACTGGTATTATTCACACTCACGGAACATTCCAAATATCATACACAAACCTGCAGCACTGCAGAGCGTGAGCAAGCAAGACCTGTGACCTGCCCTTCTGCTGAGTTTACATTGTCACTAGATGAGTTTCTTGTGCATGATGTTTGGAAGTTAGACTTAGCTGCATTTGACAAGAGAAATTTGTGTTGTACCAGCATGCCTCGGAAAGAATTTATAATGCAAAAGGTTGTTGTTTATGTACTGCCAAGATGCTCTATAACCCAAAGAAATGAAAGAACAGCAGCCTGTACAGCCCAGATATTGATTTGTTCAGATGTTTCAATGCTACATTACACAATAAAACCATGAGATTTTCTTAACAGTTTAAATTGTTTTAATGAGTTGGATATGGAGTAATGGTACCATGTGCTTTGTATACCTTCTGTCTGCCTGGTGTGGAAATGTTTACAAACCTAAAACTCTCAAGCTGAAGAGCACTTGATAGTTTTGCCAATGAAGGCAGTTCAGGTATGCCCTTGGACATACAACAACTTTTTCCCTCCCTCTCAGCAGCTTTTATAACAGAGACTTCTAGCTCAGGTTTTAACATTGACTGGTTAGTTCTCAGCTGTTGTATCTTACCAAGGCGAAAGCCTAAAATAATACACAAGGATGACAACAGTCATGGTAGCTTGTAGTTAATCTTCATAATCTCTATTATGTTCACCCTCAAAGCTAAACAGGACAGCTGTATTTTCTTTATAGGCAGACACACAGGATGTCAATCCAGCGCTGCCCCCCTGGAGGTTGTACCCAGCTCTAAAGCCCTGGCCAGATTTGTGCTCCGTGTTGTCTTTTTAGCATCCCTTCATTATTATTTGAGCTGGTTGGTAGTCCAGCGTTTGCTGTGCAGGTTTTTACAACGTGCTTGGCTGCCATGTGTCCTCCACCCTGGAGGTGGCGGTGTTCCACCAGTGAAGGGATTTATTAAATTAATCTTTCCAGCATATGAGACAGCACAGGAGCAGAATCGCATTTGCTTTACCTTCAGACCTGACTAAGCCATTAGGACCCAGTTTTCAAGGGATTAGCACACCTCGCTGAGCTCATTTTTGAAGTACATGAACTTGGCATTTCCCTTTTTGAGGCTTGTCAGGAAAGCCTGGGATGGGGTATGCTCAAGCTGGTCATTTCTCAAATCTGGCTGCTTTGGCATTTGAACTGCAATGGAGCTTTCTTCAAAGCTGATGTTAGAGCCCTCCTGTTCGGTATTGCACCATTTTCATATATTCCCTGTTTCAAATATAGGACTGTTCTGGTGGGCTCACAGTTAATCACTTGAAGGGGTGAGCTCTTTCAGTAGAAAGAGGTATTTTGCGTGGTCACTGCAAATAAAGATCCTGATATTGTAGCTCCAGATCTAAATGAAGCCTGGCAGAGGAGGGAGGATCTAAGAATAGCTCTGGCTTATGAACCTTGCCCTGCAGAAGGATCTGGTCCGTGAGGTCAGGGTAGTGCTTTGAATAATGAGCTCAATAAGCCAACAGAGAGCTTGCTTAAAAGTCAGGTTAAAGGAACGACATGTGTGGCAGGTATTAGTTTAAAAACTATCTAAAATGGGATTCTTTTAGGCCATTAAAAGTTCAACGCAGTTATCCTCCAAAATCGGCCGTGTAGGTCTTTCTGGGGCTCTTTTTCCTGCCTTTCTCCACACAGTCATTCACTCCTGGTTCCTTACCCGGAGGAGACGAACACCAGAGTTTCTAAATCAGTATTGCTTAATAATATTGACACCTGCAGGTCACTTTTGATGCCTGAACAGATTTGCTGTCTCTTCACTCTTGTTTTTCGTGCCCATGCTTACTGCAAGTGATAGACCGAGCCCAACAGTCACCTCCTGGGTCAGGAGGCCTGTGTGGAGAGATGGCGAAAGCGGCCTGTGGTGGAGGGAAGGCCGGGCAGCTGTATGGGATTATTTTTCCCCCTAAACAACCTGAATTAACTCCTTATGAGCGAGACTTCAGGTGTTCCCTCATGGTATCGCACGGATGGGAAATCATGCTGGCTATAACGCCCGCGGGGGCCAGGGCCGGTGTAGGCCCTTGAGGCCTGCGGCAACCGGCTCGCCCTCAGTGCCCGAGCTGGCGGCAGCGGCCCGCCCGCCGGCCCCGGCGGGGC